GGGTCTCCCAGACCTGACGTGCGCGCAGGGCGCTCTGTGTGGCTCAGCTTTTGTGTACGGGAAATGCTCGTCAGCGGGAAAAGTGCAACCTCAGGTTCTCTCCCACAGGCAGCTCTTTGTTCCCAGATAAAGGACCTTACACCAAAGGCCCTTTGTGCCGCTGCTCAGAACCGTGCCAGGATTAATTGGACCGATAGGTGCTTGAATGGGGAGCGCACAAGGCCGCTCACTCCTGCTGTAATTATCTTCAAAACTGAGGAGGAAATTAAAATATGAGGGGAGATGCCCCTTTTGGTGGCTTTTTGACTAGCAGGCAGTCACCAAGATTGAAAGTGCATCCCTAAACAAGCTGCCTTTCCTTCCTGAGGAGCACAGCACGGCAGTGAGGGGGAGAGGCAACCGGCACCACTGTGAGCAGCTACCACGGTGGAAGCCAAACCGTGTCCTGGGGCAAATGGCCCAGCCATCGATGCTGTCTACAGAAGCCCGGCGTGGGGCAAGTGGCCCAGCCGTATGTCCAGTCTGGGCCACCCACCCCATGCTGAGCTCCTGCAGACACGGTGCCGTGGTGTACATAGCTCCCGGAGAGCATGGGCACGTTGCAGAACAGGTTCCTCTGTTTGCGGCAAGGCTGCGTGGGTGTCTTTACTAACTTTCCTCCCTTGCCTTCTTCCAGGATGCTCTGGACTGGTGTGAGCTGCCTTCTCCTCTTTGGGGCGAGGAGCTGGCGTCTTACGTTGCCAGCGCATCCTGATAAAAGCTGGCAGTCCCCATGTTCAAAGGCGAGAGTGTTCAAATCGGAGCCGGTTGGTGGAGATGATTGAGTCTTCCCCAGTGGCTTCATCTTGAAAGCATTTTTTTTTTTACCCCCCCTCCTCTTCTGGCTCAGCCATCACTGCCGAGCGCGTCTGCCGCTCAGCAGCGCGAGACGGGCTCTCTGGGCCTCTTGGGGGGGAGTTCAAACGTTTTTGCTGGCCTCAGACCATGCACGCCACATTCCTGAGCCCCTGCATGGGGAGGAAGAGGTCCCTGGCTCCAGATGGGTTCTCGCCAGGGCTTCAAACACCCAGTGAACTGCTGGGGACTCTGCAAAGGTGACAGGAGGGCTGCTGGCAGAGGAACCCTGGTCTTTGCAGCTTGGGATGCACCTGGGAGGAGACTATGCAGGGCAGGAGCACTGAGTGATGCTCACAGCCATCTCTGAGGAGTGAGACTTTTTCCCTGCCCTGGGATCCCACTCTGCCATGGAAATCCTGCTTCTATGTGGAGTTGACCATAGCCTGATGCACTCACTGAGCGTAGTGAGGCTTCTGCTGCATCCCTTGCCTTTGCCCGGCTGAAGGTAAGGAGAGGACAACTCCCCAACGCTGCAGACAGTGATAAAGCAAGCCTTAGGGTGACTTCCCCAAGCTGGCGAAATTGGGAGCCAATTTCCCATTGACTAATGGGACCAGGCTCTCGCTGTGGTGCGCGGGATTGAGGTGGCTTTGACTCATTGCTCGGCCAGCCCTGACACTGTTCACGTCCCTCCGAAGTACCTGCAAACCTGAACCGAGCCGGGTAACCGCCGGTGCTGCCTCCAAGTCCACCTCTGGCACCTTGTGCAGGAGGGAGGGAGCAGCTGGCTGCTCCTGAACCACTGAAACCTGGGGCTTGCCCATTTCCCCAGCCCTGGATGCTGGCACATGCCCTTTCATAGGGGACTAGCGCTTAGTGTGCCGCGGTGTTTGCTGAAGAAAGGACATGGGTTCAGTGCCAGGCTGCTGTGAGATCTCTGCGGCAGCTTTAAGGGCAGAGAGCGGTTGCTGCGGCTTGGCTGCGGCCAGCTCGGCTCAGGATGCCACCGCCGGCCCTGGGACCACGCAGCACAGCAGCCTGCAGGGCCATCCGCCCACAACCTTCACAGTGGTGTCTGCGAGCGGCTGGGGAGCTCGGCTGACCCCACCTGGCCCCGCTTGCTCCCATGGCTGCGGGAAACCCCTGCTGCCCTCCATGCTCGGCCCGTTTCCTTTAGCTGAGTTGCTCAGTGATTTATTTTTATTATTTCCCCTCCCCACTCTCTCAGTGTGGTTTACGTGGCTCTCACACCAGCAACCGGCTTGGCTCTGTCAGTTTTTGTTGTTTTTTTTTCCCCTGCTCTGCCGGTCAGATGGCAGATGCTGCCAAATTAGGATGCAGGCAGTGAGCCTCCTGTCCGAGCTGCGTCTCTGCCCCGGGCCAGTACTCATGGGGAAGGGCA